TCTGCTCACTTGCATGCACTGCACACTAATGAATAGCCCTAAGCAGGAATAACACCTAGCACGTTTGGGTTCTGCATGGATCATAAAAAAAGACCATCTGAGAAGCCACATGTTATCTGCAAACTTAATGCACTTGCAGAACAAGCAATCAGAGGAAAAGCAAAGCAGAAACCCAAACTAATGGACTACCCCAGTTTCAGCTGAGATGGAGTTAATTTTCTTCCTAGAGCTTGTAAGTTTTGTGGGTTTTGGATTTAGCATGAGAATAACATTAATAACACACTCATGTTTTAGCTGCTCAGTAGTCAAGGACTTTCCATTTTCCCATGCTCTGCCAGCAAGGAGGTACACAAGAAGCTGGGAGGGGGCATGACCAGGACATCTGGCCCTTACTGGCCAAAGGGATATTCCATACAACAGAGCATCCTGCTCAGTCTGTCAGCTGGGGGAGTTGTCCAGGTGGGGCTGATGGCTGCTCGGGGACAGGCTGGGTATCAGTCAGCAGGTGGTGAGCAAGTGTGCTGTGTATCACTTGTCTTTCTCACATTTTATTTCTCTTTCTTCTCTGGTTGCCTCCCTTTTCATTATATCATCATCATCATCATAATTACCACTAATTTTGTTATTATTGTTGCTGTTGTTATGTAATTAAACTGTTCTTATCTCACTGCATGGGTTTTATCTACTTTTTTCCCAATTCTCTTACCCATCCCACTGTGGGGGTACAGGGAGTGCAGGGAGTGAGTGGCTGCATAGTACTTGGTTGTCATCTGGGGTCAAGCCATGACAGTCATGCTTCCTACACAGCCTGCAAATAGTACAGATTCTCCAGACAAAACTGCAACTCAAACTACAGCTACCAATGCTGCCTCAGGTATTTGGCCTCTCCCCACTGTTCAACAAGCCTGAAGTTAAGTTTGAAATACACAAACACTGTTGGGGCACCTTTTAGAGATATTCAAATCAGGATGAAAACTCTTTCTCATGCAGCCAGCCTCAGGTATGATGTTTTCAGGAGGGAGCAAATTAACTGCCATACCTCCCAGTTCACCTGCACTTCTCATCTTTCCCACACCAGATTTTCTTTGCCAAATACAAAGGAGACTGTAGTGTACATATGTGCAATATATATGCAATAAACTGCAGTAATGTATGCACTAGATTGAAATATTGCATTTTTGTATCCTCATAAGCAATTCTTTGGATGAAGGATTCAAAGTCCCACAGAGAGTACTGCAAATACACATTAAGTCTCTAGGTGCTGGATTTGACTCTGACGTATATAACAGATGTGTAAAGTAACACATAACCAGATGCTTCTCTAGTGCATGCACAGCTAGAGATTGAAAAGCCCTAAAATGTTGTGTCCAAGGGCAAAAGAAAAGGGAGAGGATAAAAACAGAACCACATGTCTAGCAAGAAAATAAAAATTTCTTGTATGGGCCGTATGGATTTCTTGTCTAGAATGCTGAAATTTTTCATGTCTGTAATTCAGCTATGGTATCTCAAGAGAGGACTTTTCAGGAGGTGGTAGTCCAGGCACTGTGACCTGATTTGCTCCATGCCATGATAAACCATTTCTTGATGTCTTTGAAATTTCAGGATCCTACTTCCAAAGCCTCCACTGTGATTTCAAAGACCTCCATCTAGAAGAGCGGTCTAACTCCTTAGAAGAAAAAAAAATTCTCTGAAAAAAAGCATATGGCTGTATAACAGTCACCACCACAGAGGCCTTTCTCCTTTCCCTGAGTTGGTGTGTCCTGGCTACAGTGGCTAGAAGAAAACAGCTGCTGTGCTTTTGCAATAACCTTCTAAGGCAGAGGAGAATGGTGAGTGAGAAGAAGTCAAAAATTTGTTTAAAAGCCTCAGTTTAAAATTTCTGACTACTCCCATTTCATGAAGTAACTTATAACCACTCTGTGCTAGAAACTGTGTGAACCACTGACTTCAGATCTGGATCCTGCCTTTTGTAAAGCTGCTGGTGGGCTTGGATCCAAGGCTTTGGTTCAAGCTCTTATGTACTCCATACTGAAATTACTTATACTATACGTCCTTCATAATAAATAGCCTCACGGTGAGGAAGGACAGTATTGGCACAGTTCATTTTTACATCACTCTTTTGAAAGTTTAGGGAAAGCACTGGAAACGTTACAGCTTTTGAATATTTTGCCTTATGTGATTTACAAGCAGCATAGTGAATGGCTGTGCAAGCTTCACCCATTTTCCTGGGACATGCAGTGTGACAGTGTGAGTCCCAGGCAGTGCCCACCAGAGCTGAGCAGAAGGGGCATGGTGGCACTGGCATGGCCACGTCTTGCCACAGTGCTGCCCTGCACTGTGCCACTGTGCCACTCTCCTGCCTCCCTCCAGTGAAGGTCTCTGTTCTCTGTCCCCACCACCTCCTCTTTACAAAGGCTCACACACACATACTGAAACAAAAGAATAATTCCATTATGTGCCTGGCAGCCTGTGCACTTTCCTTCTGATTCACAATAGCGGCACCCCATTGAAAAGATCCATATACAGGGGGTGGGGAAAAAAAATCTTAAGTCTCTAGCAAGCACACATATTATCAAAGCCTCATTTCCACTTAACACAAGTTGCTTTGGGATCTAATGCAGCTTATTTGAGGGGAAAATACAAACAAACAAAGTCTTCTTCCATTAGCCCGGGCAGGGGGCAGGGAAATCAAACCAGTTCCATCTTTGTTGAAGTGCTCCACAAAACTAATGGTTCAGGAGAGCTGAGGAGCATGGTCAGGGGACAATTTGTGACTGGTCACTGCCATCTGAACATGGCATGCTGACAGCTGAACGAAGAGCAAAACAAAAAAGGCATGTGTTTAATCTGGGCAGGCTCGGTCCCCTGTGTTCACTCCCAGTGAAAAACACAAAGCAGGAGAGAGTCAGTTTCACTGCCTGCTCAGCTCAGCACCACATAACTCCCTGGCATATACCGCAGGACCTACTCCACGCACACAAATGGGGACATTATTTCTTCACATGCTGAAAAAAATAAGAAAGGAGAAGGATAGCAGTACAATTTAATATATCCTAAAATGGATCTTTTGGCACCAAAGAGGTTCCCTCCAATACTGACAATGAGCTCCTGCACTCTGATACAAAGAAAGCTAAAAACAACCTCAACGATTTTCTGAGTGTAACATAGAGCTGATGAAATGATTTTGAAGGCCACACAGATGCTACAAAACACCTCTTCCTGAACTTCAACATGCGCTTCCTCAGAGAGGAACAAGAAGGCAATTGTGAAAGGAAAATCATTCGCCTTATCCTGGCCTGACATCAATGAAAAGAAGGCAGCAATAAAAGCATTTTGATTTATGCTCCACAGAACCAAGAAGGAATGCTTGCCTCCAAGAGAGTGGGATAGACAGAAAGCAAAAGTGGGCTGAGGGTGATCACACAATGCAGCACTTCTCCCTCATTGGTTTGGCCAAGACTGTCACCTGCACCTGAAACAGGGCTTGCCCCAGAGAGCAAGGCATTTCCCAACCTCAGCCTTCCAACAGGTTTGCATTAATATCTCATTTCAAACTACAAAAATTGCCTCAGAATCCTGCTGAAAGAGTTCTGTATTGCTGTTTGGGCTCACAGTCCCTAGTGCAAGACCTGCACGTAAAAAGGAGTTGGCTACACTGATTTGAAAAACTTTTGTCCTGTTCAGAAAAATCAGTACAAATACCTACAGGACCACTCTAATACACTACAATCTCCCAAGCAAGGGCCCCTGTCCACTGACTAGAAAGGAAATATTTAGCTCCCTGCAGTGGGCCTGTTGATTTCAAAAGGAACTTAATAGCTCTGTTCCTACAGAGCAAATACAGAGCAATCACCAGGGTTCGGCTATGCTCTCCTCTCTTCTGAAATCTGGTAAGCAATATGTGTCTGCAAATGCCACTTGCCAAAAGGTTTTGATTCTCTGCACATTTGTGCGAACGTATACCCTGCTTCTTCCAGGTTATATGTGTCTTTTTGATTCTGCAGATTCCTTACAGTTGCAGTTTTGTCTCTTTCAGCACAATTGTAGGGCAGAATAAATAACTTAAAATTTTTATTTAAGGAAGATGCTGGTGTTTTTAGTGTTCATTTATGCAACATTTTCATTGGTTAAAAGTTTTACAACTGTAGTATTTTCTCCTTACTAGATTCAGGTTTGATTATTTTTAATGAGAAATTAAAGCAAAACAAACAAAAAAGAAGACTAAAGGGAAAAGGTGAGCTTCTCCTTGTGCCTTGTCATTGTCTTTATTTAAAAAAAATTAACTCTGACAATACAATTCAGCCTCAGTCAGGGAACTTTTAGTTCAGTTGCTATTCAAATATCCAAGCGCAATTTGCAACTCTAGTTATGAAAGTGGACACTATTTTCTTTATACATTTAACTCTATTTGTTCAAAGGCACACTGATGAAGCAATTAAGGCAGATATATTGTTAAAGCTGTTGTAGAATTCACAGGCTTTGCTAAGAAGTTTGGTATTTCAATGAGGTGTTTAAACATAAAAATGAGAACTATGTATTTAATATAAAAATATCACTTAAGAATGCTGCAAAATCTGATTACTCCTGACACTATCACCAACAGTAAGAGATTAGTATATGCATTTTTCTGGCTCTGTGTTGTATGTTCTTCAACAGCCTTCTTCAATAGCTCCCATATGATATAGATTCCAAACTAGGAAATATTTAGGCTCATGCCTAACTTTCAGGGAGAATAGTCTCACTGATTTAAACAGGGTTTAACACTTATAAATATCAGAATGATTACCAGTTTGTGGGACTGGAACTCATGGGACCCATTTTCAAGAAGTGCAATATGTATTTTTACTGCTGTTTCTGGGTTTGCCCTTACAGTTCTCTCCCTCCCTCTCCTGCCTGTTTTTACTGCCTTCAACAACAATATCATGACACTCCAAGGTAAATAATGATTAATTTAATTACAAACTAATTGCAACTTATGACAAGACCCTCCAATCACTTACCTCAAATCATGAGTGTTTCAAGATGCAATTGTTAATCTCCTTTTCTCCCCCCTCTCACAGGAGATGCTGCAGACTTTTTTTCTGGTATTTTGCATTAAAACTCTGTCCCTGTGCTCCAGAATCTTAAAACAAAAACAAAAAAAAAGAAACACTCAGAATGAAAATGTCATTTCAAGCAATTGGTGGGTGGCTCAGGGGAAATCCCTGACCTTTTTTGAATGTATGTTTCATTAACTAAAGCAAGTGTGGTAACTTCCTCCAGCAGCAGCTCTTCTGTGAGCTGTACTTAAAAAAAAAATTAAAAAGACCCAAGTGAACAAAAAAAAAAAACCACTGGTTTTGACCACTCAAAAACCTGGCATTGTAAAACCCCATAAGATAGCACACTACAAAGTATTCGTTTAATGCACAATCCAGGATATATCAGACTCCGCAAATTTATGACGGCAAAAATGGAAGAAAACCCAGAACACAAACCAGAAGAAAAATCATTATGTAAACTATTAAACTGCTACATAGTTTTATTCCTGCTCTCACTGCTATTATCACTAATAAAACATATACAGCCCTCTCCCTCAGTCTTCACTGAGTTCCTGTAGTATTTCTGTAGTAGCAGCGTGGGGGAAGTAGTAGCCGTGCTGGAGAAGCAATGCAGCATTAGCACTACAAAACCCAGCCCAGCTGTCGAGGGAGAAAGGAAGGGAGGAGGAGCGACAAAGTACATGCGTTAAGAGTAACTGGCAGGTCTCTAATACAATCAATTTTGACATTCTCTACCATCACCAAAAAAGGTCTGAAGGGTTTTGACTTTTCAGCGAGTGCTGCTACCAAGAACAGTTTCTCACCGCCCCCTGTTTCACCCTCCTCCCTCTCCTGTACCTGCAGCAAGGCTTGGCCAAGGGCCAGCTGAGTACGTAAGACTCCAAACCAGGCTCTGTCAGCAGGAAAACACTGCCAGCCAGTGCAGAGTTCACGTTCCCTCTGAGAGCGTGGTCTTGCATTTGCATGGCCTCTCTGGATTACAAGCATCCCAGCTATTTCTCCATGAACAATTTTTAGGACCAACAACCACATTCATTTTTGCTCTGTAAAAAGCCTGAAAGAAACTGTTCCCAGGGTTACACCTGTGGCTACCCCCACTGAAGCCAACAAATTTACACAACATGACGAGAGGATTTGACCTTGTGTGCATGTAAACCAGAACACTTTGATTTTCTTCCTTGGCTAGAACAGACAGGTCTGAATAATTATCCCCTTGCTTTTAATTAAGAAATGAAGACAATATTCACAGCCTTCTGTGGCTTTATATACCTCAAAAAAGACAACTTTTCCAAAAGTGGTCAAAAATTTAAAAAATACAGCTTTCTACACCAGAGTGTATTCCCACACACACCCTAGAGGAAAACAACCCAAAACTTGAAGCAGACCACAAGACACAAATAAGGAGGACCTTGACACCTGTACAAAGGCTGTGCCTATGTCACCACTCCCCAGTAGTAGGAAATACTCTGCTTAAATTAGCCTGGACCCCTACTCCACCATGCTTATTTTTGCTGACGTGGTGCTGCCTCTTCCTTCAAGGAGCCTGCACCAGTCAACACCAGTCAAGACTGCAAGAGCCAAGCCTACCACTTGCAGGAAGCGGACAAAGCCCTCTGAATCTGTGACACACGTCCAGAGAAGGCTGCAAGTTCACAGTGAAATGACGACAGTCTGTCCATGACTCATGCCACCTAGAAACCATTCTTACTTTAAGAAAAAGTGTTAAAGGGATTATCTTACAGAGCGTCACCCTGCCAAATCAAGTCGGTTCTGCCTCTCATTTTTTTCCTGAGCTCAAATACAAGGTGGCCCAATGATGAAAATCAGCATAAAATCCTCCTGTTCTCACTTTACATACTTACATTTTTAATGCTCTGTTTAAAGAGTCAAATAAAACTGTTTGATGGACAGATTCCCAGCTATCCTCTAGGCTTTTCTGCATGACCTATGGGCAAATGCTATGTGACACTTCCTGAAAGGCTGAAATAGCTCTGAATGACACTTGAGCTTCTATAATACAACTACGGCATGAGCATTTGGCTCCTAATGCACACTGTCACTTAACCCAGAATTTCCCCTGCCCCTACAACAAAAATAAGAGTTATTCCCCCATCTCAGAGGACTGATGCAAGGAACACAACACCCATGCTGATTTAGTGGACAATCTGGAAACAAGGAGAAAGTTATATGAAGTTATACATCTCTTAACTCAGGATGAAACTTCACATACCCAGAAAAAGACCCTGCAAATCAAAATAAGGAGTGAGTCATAAGCCTGCCCCTCTGAAACCATTTTGCTGGATAGTCATTTCACTAGTACAACTTTCTTCTCCAGGGTGCTCCCAGCAAGCGTGGGGGACACTGAATGGATTCACTGTATTCACACAACAGCTTTACAGCTGCTGAAAAAAGGCCTATTGTCAGCCTGCATTTTACTGTCTTGAGTAGCATAGATAAAGTTGCTGTACAGCTTCCATTACCCATCTGATCCTTACAGAAACAGGAGCAACAAATCAGGGTTGTCAAAAGAAAATAGATTTAACTGTGATGGAGGAAATAGTCTGGTTTTCAAAAAAAATCTAGAAGTAACAATTTATATATCAGAGAATAAAACATTAAAAATTCAGCATAACAAAAATACTTTAAACTAATTCTGGCTTCTTTTTTTTTTTTTTTTTTTTTTTTTTTTTTGTTACAATGTATCTGTGAGCCAGATTCAAATTTCACCATCAGAAAGGAGCATGAGGCCTGCCGTACATATATGCACTTCCTGCAGTCATGAGGTGCACATGGCTTGCACCTCCATGCGTTTATAGTATTTTCTCAGTAACTGAAATAGTATCAAAACGAACAGTGAACTCTTAAAACAGAATTGTTGGGTCACACTTTACAAAGACTCACTCAACAGCCAGATAATCCTGGACTTCGCAAAACATGTGAGTAGATCTGACAGCCCCTTTCTAAACATCTTGATTTTTCTCGTAGTGCCTGTGGAGTCAGGGAAAAAGGACAATCCTGAATTACGCACATTCCTCCCAGCATTCAACTACTCCACTCTCCCCCTTCTGGAGAAATGAATGCAGCTTCAAACAAATTAAAGGAATATCTTGTCAGCTCCTTCACTCTTCCCGGTGCAATAAATGAGGCGGTGCTTGGCTTCTCTAGCTCCCAGCAGAGGCAGGTCTGAAGTGCAAATCCTCCTTCCCCCTCCCATACACACAGCATTAACCCTGCCTGCTACAAAGATGCCGAGTTCAGCCAGGGCTATCCAACAGTCTATCCCAGCTGCAGCACGTGCTACTAGTAACCCCCAGGAATTAAATGATGGTTGATCAGCACACATCTCCTCAAAACACAGCAGTTCCCTCAAAAGCTACGAGATTGGACAAAAGTTACAGGATCGATTTCTCTGCCTTCTGGCTTCAGAACCACAGGAACACGCCAGGTGCTCTGCTGCTCTGCACTCAAAGGCAGAAATATTTTGCTTTTTAGTGAGAGCTGAGGCACTACCCCTCGCTTTGCCAGCTTGGGACTTTAAGAAAATACCAAGAGAGTAGCAGCCTGATAAAATACCAGCAGTAGGATGCCTATTTTCCCCCAGTCTTCCTTCATTTCACAGTGGGGCCTCTCTCAAAAGGTCGATGGAGCTGAATGGACTGACATGATTTTCCATTCTAGGTAAACTGCATGTACGCTATGTTAGCATGACTTGACTATAATCAAAACTGATGAAAAACCACAGCAATGGAAACAAAGACTCAAGTAAAGAGAGAAATTAAACCTCAAGACAAGCTACAAAGACTCCTCTCTTATTTCTGGATTTCAGCAGGCTTACCTACCTCCAAGCCTGGGGGGCAGAGAGGACTGCCAGCCTCCCTTGCCATCCCCAGGGCAAGCAGTTCTGGGGTGACCCTGGGCAAAAGTAGTACTACTGCACGTGACAGGACAGAGCCAAGGCCAGTTGAGAACAGTGAATTGCTAAAATGTGATCTCATTTTGGAATGAGCTATGAGGGATGAAGAAATGACAGCACCAGGCTCTCTGCACACCTCTCGCCATGGGGACAGGATCTCTTCCCCCCAGATCTCACAGGAATGGATCTACTGTTCTCTCTTGCCTCTCAAGGGTCTGGCAGGCTCAGGCACACGTTCCTATGTGCTATTTACTCCTTTTCTTGCCTTCTGCTCATAAACATACACACACCATGAACTCCTCTCTTTTCTTAACAGCCAAAATGACTTTATTGCATGATTTTTGGACTAGAACTACCAGCCCACGCTCACTGCCCCCATGCCTTGATGCCACCTGTTTATCATTACAAGGTGACACAGAGCCATGATCTCCCTCGCTTACCCTGAGGCGTGTCATGTCTTTCCAAGTCATAAAGCCCCAGTCCCATCAGGTGCTGACCTCAGGCTCTCCCTGGCACCCTAAGTGCCTCCTTTATCCCAGCATGAAGGTCTGAGAGAGACAGACTGCATTACAAGTCAGTGGCTTCATCCCTTGGCAGCGACCCTGCCATATGAATGCCTGTGCTCAGAGGCACAGCCCTCCGTGGCTCACGACCTCTGAAAACAAGGAATGCCAGTGGATGCAGAGCTGAATACCCTCCACCCACTCTTTCACTGGCCAAGCTGCTCTGAACAGTAACATACATCCTCCTGTAAAAGTTCAGCATGTTGCCCACAAAAAGCAGCAGGCAGGCGTGCCTCTGCTGAAGAGCATGTATAGTTTAGAAAGAGATATTAAGAAAATGAAATATGGTGTGATATTTAGTGTGCAGATACATTCTGGGTCCTTCAAAGGAAGGGCTCTAGAAAAACAATAGAAATTCCATGTTGCTTGGAACAGATGGGCCTCGTATTTTTTTCCTATTGCCTTCTGCTTTACTTACTCATCTCACCTACCTTCTAGCTATATGAGGTTGTTTTTTGGGATCTAGTTGCTTGCTGCTATATAGAAAGATCTGAACAATCAACATTCTTTATACAATCATGTATCTCCAGTGACAGAGAGTACAGGAGACATTCAAGACATTAGAGAAGAAACCTGTGATGACCTTTGTTGCAGGAAACTTTGG